ATCTACTTATAACTGATTGTAGGGAATTGAGACCGGCCGTTAATCACCGCGTCAAAGTCCTCTGCTGGATATGGATTCCTCCCTGGCGTTTAGTTCGTACAAACAAACTCTCCATGTTTCCTCCCTGGATAATAGACACTAGAGCAAATATATTTTACTATACAATCTACATATTATGTCTATATCTACCACTGCCATGTTTATATGTTTTTTTTTCTCTAAATCTGCCCAATTATAATTATCCACGACTTTCTGTCACCAGGGTGGCGCCACTTTACAGTGAGGTAAAATGTTTGACATGTTTCATAGCGGGGACAATAATTTCTTAGGAAAATGTAAACTTTAAGGTTTCTTTCCGTATCATTAGTTATATTTTATATTAATTAGATTAAAAATGAATAATCCAAACTATAAATATAACTAAAAGTAGAAAAACTACAAAAACGAGTTATCAAGTGCGAAAAATTAAAAATAAAACCACTGACGCATTGTGTTGTATATTAATATAATACTCTAGATAATGATAAACTATTATTTAAAACTAATTTCTCAATTAAATGACATTATGTAACAAAAAATATTACCTCAGTCACAACTAGCGACATCTGGTGAGTGGAAAAATATTAGCCCTCATTGCATACATGCATGGTGCAGATGGCAGCTTACAGACACGCTAGTCTAAGAACAATGTACAATCGATTTAAAAAGGCGGTTTTTATTAAACATCCAGCAATAGAAAATTTAATGAATTTAAAAATGAATACAAAATACAGATAAAGCCACATCCTACTTATATGGTTCAAGAGGAAAAAATTATAATCGTTCCAGTTTTGGTGCAGGGAACAAGGGAAAACGGAATGACGATTTCGTCAATTTTCCTTAGATTTAAATTAGTTCGAGCTACAGTTGTCTCTCTCGGTCACCTCTCTCGGTCGTTTGGGCACATCGCGACAGCAATACTTCGTTAAAAACCTATCGACATCGATGTTATGTTTAAGACCTATGTTAGGTCTAGATATTAAGATATATATATTATGGAAAGACGCTGCTATATACGCTACGCTGTACACATCTCCTGGATTGTTTCCCTCAGTTACTTCTTACGCCACGCACGGGATGATATTATGTGGTAGTGAATTTTTGTTACACCGCCACCGCCGGTCACGTGTGGTGTGTCTCATATCTATACAAATAAATAAAATTGAAGTCTGTTTGTAATGTCAAAATTACACCTTTTTACTAAATGCATATGAAAGTATATACGAAACTAATAACAAACATACAATTTTTAGAGTTTTTGTCTGTCTGTCTGTTTATCCGTCTGTTTGTTCCGGCTAATCTCCGAAACGGCTGGACCGATTTTGACGGGATTTTCACTGGCAGATAGCTAATGTCACAAGGAGTAACTTAGGCTACTTTTATTTTAGAAAAAGAATTAGGGTTGCGCGCAAAAAAATTAAAACCCCCATATAACACGCCGGCGAAGTCGCGGGGAACAGCTATTATTATATAAATTAAATAACTGTATTATTAAAAAAAAACTTAAAGATATTTTTATGATCAATTAAATCTTGGAGTGTTTATCCATGGTCCAGGTAGGTCCATGGGTCATTTTATTTACCCATAGACCAGTTTCACTAGTGGGTTACAATTTTCATAAAAAATCAATGCAATTCAACTCATGTGCAATTACCCTGGTGTTGCCGTTGTTCATGGGCGGCGGTAGTCACAATCAGGTGAACCGCATGCTCGTTCGCACCCTCTTATATAAAAAAAATATAAATATAGCTAATAATTTAAAGCTGACAGTAATAATAGAAATATAGGTCAAAGGAGTTCATATGTTACAAAGAGTAGAATCTCGTAAAAAAAAAACAGGTAATGTCAGTGTTTTTGTTTGTCATTTTGACATAACTATTTGCAAAATATATCTCTGATTATTTTATTTGTTAGTTTTAAGTTCGAAATCTTTGTGATTTATTGATTTGCCTATTATATTATCATTTTCAAATATCTAACATGGAAAACGTAAATAGAAACGTAAAAATAATTAATAGCAAAAAAGGTAACTTTAAACTACGTAGTTCATCAGTACTATAAGCATACTGATCATAAAAATGAATCCTCGCTTTGGAACTGTTATTTAAAACGGAAAAATCATTCCAAGGGAACATAACTGTTACTAAAGTAAGTATTTTTCTGATAATTTCATTGATTAGTAAAAAAAAATTGTCAAGTAATGGGACTCGTATTCCGTTCGGTTCCGTACTTTCCATTTCTTCATAATCTCGATGACATACTTAAAGGTATCGGAAAATCGGACCCTCGCGTAATAAATACTCTGGATGAAAGTAACTTAAACTTTTAGTAACTTCTTCTTAAACAATACAATAATAAGAAAGATACAATATATAATAACAAAAATACTTTGTCATTAGAATTCAACTTAGGTTTGGAATTTCAATGGTTTTAGAGAACAATTATTCTCTTAACTTGTGGCAAAACACTTTACTGGATATTATAAGTTAATAGATCCTGGGCTTTTAGTATGGATAATAAGCTGTGTCCATGTAGTGGCGGCGTTAGAGAATCCACTGAATCTTATCATCCCGTGGTTGTCATAAGAAGCGACAGTGGGAAATGCAAAACATGTAATGAACACAGCAAACGTTCACACAACACAATCAGTACGATTTGTTTTATAAACTTAGTATAAGTCTCAAAGTATGATGATTTTTTTATAGGATAGGGTGACAAACGAGCACACAGCCCACCTGATGGTAAGTGGTTCCTCTGACCCATAGACATACACATCTATCCTCAACAAAGAATCAAACTGCAGATGCGTTGTCACCCGTGAGGACTAAGATGGAATGCCTCTTTTAAAGTAAAAAGGGTCTCCGGGTCTCTACACTCACAGTGTTAAGCTGCTATTTTACGCTGGTATTCTGTGAGAACGTGGTCCTTCCCCGGCCGAGCCGACCCATTCGTGCTACAACTATACTTCTAATATAGTTTATTAGTAAGTACGTTTATACGTGGTTGAGCCATGCTGCAGCTATATTACGGTTGTAGCACGAATAGGTCAGCTCGACCGGAGAACGGCAACGCTCTCATAGAATATCAGCGCAAAATGGCAGCTTAATATTGTGTTTCGTATGGTGAGTGTAGAGAACCGGAGACCCATTTTACTGGAAACAAGGCATTCTATCTTAGTCCTCAAGGGTGACAACGTCTTCATTTTGACACTGAATCGAGTATAGATGTAAATTTCTGTGGGTCACAGCATACACTTACCATCAGGTGGCCTGTGTGCTCATTTGTCACCATTAAACTATAAAAAAGTAAACTTTAACGTCATCATCATCAGTCTTTCATAAGTCCACTGCAGATCATGGGCCTCCCCCAGGGAATGCCACAAAAACAGACGTAGAAACTTTATCGTTAGTAACTAATTGATAGTTTTACCTTTCTATGTATATAGTAAAGATTCTAAAGTATCGAAATAGTGTAACTTGGCATACGGGTCAATAAACACTGAAAACTTAACTTTGTTAACTTTGTTGGCTTTTTTAGATAATTCAGGTGGGATTGTGGTCAAGTACTGGCTTATAATAAGTAAAAAAAACTCATCGTTAACTTTTTCAGACAACTCGTAAAAAGTTTATCAGTGAAGGCTAATAACATTCCGGTCACCACATGTCGCTAGTTTGGACTAAGGTGAAGTTTTTTGTTACGCAATGTCATTTAATGAAGAAAGTTCGTTGTAAATAAAGGTTTATCAGTTACTAGAGTATTATATTGATTCACAAAAGAATGCCTCAGTGCTTTGATGTTTAATTTATTCCACATTTTAAACTCTTTTTTGTTTGTGTTTTTTTTTTACTTTTAGTTATTTATCTGTAATTTGATTTATTCATTTCTACACAACACAAACACTCACGCCTTTCACCCATAGGGGTAGGCAGAGACTACGGACTTCCATTTGACGCGATCCTGACACACCTCTCTCGCCTCCTTTACATCCATATATCTACGCATACACGCTCGTCGGTTAAGGGTACTCCTAATCTGGCCCATTTTTAATGTATCGCCGATTTGTTCGATAAATCTTCGTCTAGGGCGTCCCTTCCCGACGTTCACTTCTGAAACATAAATTTGCTTTGTCACTCTTTCCTCGTTCATTCTTTCTACGTGACCAAACCACCAAAGCATTACTTTTTTAATCCTGGTCACAACATCATCTTGCAAACCACACTTTTCTCTTATCACACTATTTCTCACCCTGTCATTCAGATTCAGATTTAGCATACTCCTTAAGGACCGCATTTCTACAGCATTTATTCTACTCTTATGCTTCTTCTGTCAGACCCAACTTTCACTACCATACATTAAAGTAGGGACTAACACAGCATTATGAATTGCCATACGTGCCTTATTTGACACATTCTGACTCCTCATAATAGCGTGTAGAGCCCCATTCACTCTATTTCCTGCGTTCACTGGTCGTTCTATATCCTTATCATATCTACCATCCCTGCTAAATAAACATCCCAAATATTCAAACTCATCCACTTGCTCAATCAACTCACATTCGTCTTACTTGCGTTCACTTTCATACCCCTTTCTTTTAATGACCAGTACATTAAAGTAACCATCGTTCGCAACTCGGCCGCCGACGATGCAGATATGACTTGATCATCGGCGTACAAAAGGCATTTGACGGTTAACTCACCCATTCTCAATCCACATTCTTCAACTTTCAAAGTTTGCAAACAAATTCATTATACATTTCTAATCTAATTAATATAAAATATAACTAATATTATAGAAAGAAACATTAACTCTTACATTTTCCTAACAAATTAACTTTCCCTGCTATGAAATCTTTCAAATATTTTACCTCATTCCAAAGTGGTGTCGCCCTGGTAGCAGGAAATGTCGTGGATGGTCTCATTGTGAGTGTCATCTAGCCTACTATCACGAGGCACTTGTTTCAGGTGAGGACCTGTCTCCACGTGTGGAGCTGGGCGCGGAGTGCCGGGAGCTGGTGTCGCCGTCACTGCCGATGACCCCCCTCGAGCATATTGATGCGCCCAGTACGTATTCTTTCTATATTCTTCATATTATATTTTAAATCTTTTGTACGCCTGTTAATGATCGTGTAACTTCTGAACGACTTGATGAGGTCACATTCACACAATAAATTTATTTTGTCGAGATAGTTTATAACTATCCGATAGGTGGCGCTGTACTCTAGTTAATAACAAATTCTATGTTATCCCAACTAAATGACTCACATTCACAATATACATAAATATAAAAATTACGTGTCACGTTGTTTGTCCCCGATGGACTCCTAAACTACTGAACTGATTTCAATGAAATTTGGTCATTTTGGTCCAACTTGAGAGATAGGATAGTTTTTATCCCGATAAATGACCCACAACATTTTTTATTACGAATTTAAGAATTTTTTTTGGACAAAGGGTCGTCGGAGAGGCAGAACAACGTCTGCTTGGCAAGCTAGTATACATACTTATATGAAATAGCTCTGTACTACCCCACGGAGCGTTGGCCTCATCCCGGGTCAATCATCTTGCCCGGCGGGAGATCTCCCCTTTTCTTTTAAATCATTAGAACAAATCTAATGTGCTTATGATAAATGGCAGTACCGTCTCGTTTACACTTACTAGACGTAAAATAACCAGACCAGATAAATAACCAGTAAAATAACCAGATTAGCGACAGCTAACAGCGTCAAAGGAAAGAGACGCCTGATACTGCGATCGCTAATTCGCCTGCCAAGCGATAGTGAACCCTAGCTACAATGGGAGAGGCACTATTCAGCAGTGGACTATGCCTTTCATCATCATCACCATTATAGCCCTTCACAAGTCCACTGCTGTACATGACCTCCTCCAAGGAATGCCACAAAGAACGGTCCTGAACCACCTGTATCCATCGAAATCCTGCATGTCTTATCAAGTCGTCACTCCATCTAGTTTAGAGCCGCCTTACACTAGATGGAGTGACGATACGTCTACCGGTACGGGGCTGCCACTCAAGAACCTTTCTTCCCCATCGGTTGTCGGTTCTTCGAGCTATATGGCCGGCCCATTGCCACTTCAGCTTACTAATCCGTTGGATTATGTCAGTTACTCTGATTCTACTGTTTATGTACACATTTCTAAGTTTATCACGCAGAGAAACCCCGAGCATAGTCCTCTCCACAGCTCGCTGAGCGACCTTGAGTTCCCTCATGCGGCTACGGCTGTAACTATGGCTATAAATAACTAATTTATCCAGGTTTACTTTCATATAGAATAAGGGTGACAAGCGAGCATCTATCCTGGACTAAGAATCAAAATGCAGTTGCGTTGTCACCCCTGAGGACTAAGATGCCTCGTTACCCGTACAAAAGGTCTCCAGTTCTCTATACTAAGAAATATACCATTTTTCTGATGTTTCACGCTAGTATTCTATGCGGTGTGATCCTGCCGCCCTGGTCGAGCCACCCATTCGTGCTGCTGTCATAACATAGCAGCAGCGCTCTACTACGTATTTTCTAAGAATAGTAATAATTGTTTTGTGGACACAGGGCAAGCGATGACCCTCCTGGTCCCGGACACGTCGTACTCCTCGTCGGAGGGCGAAGACGACTTCTTCGACGCAGACGACGAACCTGCCGACTTGACGCCTCCCGGGCCCAGGTCAGTGGAAATTTTCGCTGTGGTTCTAGAACTTTAGCAGAATTAATCTTTCCTATAGTTTTTGAAGTGGATCGATAGCAAAAGAAAATCTCGTACTTCTATCAAAGAAGCGTCTTTCTCTTTATTTTGACACATACAAAAAAATTGACATAAACTTAAAAATTACCTAAAAAAAAGAAACGTTTAAAGAAAGAAGAAAGAAAGTAAATAAAAAAAGAGTTAAACGAATGGCAGTTTAAGACTAAAAGTAGTGCGGTGTGTATCTAGCAAGTAAATAGATTATGATCGGAGTAATGCTGCAATGCCTTGCAACTCGTGCAAGGTATTTTTGAAATACATTTTGTGTCTACTTTTATAAATTTAAATATTTCAGTGCTTCGTAAATACAGCTATATTTACACACATCCAGCACATATTATGCACATACATTTTATATACAAAAAATCCAAAAAAATATAAATATTAACATAACCAGAGTAACCAAAGCTTGTTGAATGAATCCAATACCTCACACTTCTATATTATATATGTCGGAGCGTCTATAAAATACCGGTTGGATCGAGGTGGAATGGAGGGTATATACAGAAACCCCCACTCGTTTGTGCAGTATAAAGTTCACTGTAGGCGCCGTGCGCCAGAGATTTCGCTTAAGTCATTCTACTAGTGCTAAGATAGTGTCGTGGCTCTGTTCGTTGTTGTAATTCTTCTGGTGCAGGCAAGGAGGATTGGGGTTGCTGAGAGGCTGCCCTGTGTTACAGTGAGATGGGTGGTGTTGCTGTTGGTTTGCATACTTTGGCGTTATCATGTAATTACGTACCTCACGTTACACTGGTGTGTGATCGTGGCGGGAACGTGTTACACTGTGGTCGAACTGTAATTACTCTATACTGAATGTATAGTGAGTTACGCTGTCTTATTACTGATAATAATTAATTGCGTAAGCAAAAGAGCAAGTTGAACATGCGCTCTCATACTTTTTTATTATTTTTAACAATTAACGCTATCCTGATGTATTTCCGAGATAAAAATTGGAATCTGTAGCGATCCGCCCCGACGCACGGGTGATATCTGGATATCGACACAGTGCCACCTACCAAATGTTATGTACAATATACTGGGTCCAAATGTAAATCTAAACCATCTAGGAACCCATTGAAACATAAAAATATTTCATAGAAATCGGTCGAGCCGTTTTTTAGTTTTAGCGAGACTAACGGGCTGCAATTGATTTTTATAATATATTAGATATTGAAAATAAGTATTATATATAAGTATGACTGCCCCGTTGGTCTAGTGGTTGTAGTAGTGCGACTGCTGATCATGAGGTCCCGGGTTCGAATCCCAAGTCGGACCAAAAAAAACAGTTATTGAGTTTTTCCATCAAGAAATTCTCAGTAGCTGGCCGGAGTCAAGAAGGTGGCGATGTTTCACCCCCGTGCCTCGGAAAGCACGTAAAGCCGTTGGTCCTCCGCCTGATCTCTCTCCGGTCGTGTCGGTTTACCGTCCCATCGGACTATGAGAGTGAGGGAATAGAGAGTGCACCTGTACTTGCGCATACACTTGGGCACTATAATACTGTCCTCAGATGGCTAGTCTCCGTTGAGACTGGCCGCCGTGGTCGAAATTCGGTCTGGAGGACATTATTATATACAAGTATAATATATATTTATTGTATATTTTAAGTATATTAATATACTTAAAATTCAACCGTAACCAAGCAAACCGCGTTCGATTACCGGTAGTTACACAAAATAGATGTGCTGTTAAAAGAGCATTATCTTCTAATTAGTGAGGATATATTATAACAAGGATTATCCGGGGGCACAACAGTGCCCCCGCCAAGTCTAGCAAAAAAGCGGCACCGCCGTACCATCCTTTTCTCAAAGTAGTTTAGGCCGTTTTCGACCCCCTATAACTTTTTGTGGATAAAACTAGAAGCCTGAATTCAGTAACCAAGCAGGCATTGTATAAACACGGTATATTTCAAATTTCATTAAATTTGAACTATTAGTTTAAGAATTATAACTAGTCAACGTTTCCTAATTTTGTCACTCACTGACTGACCAATCATCAAAACTCTAAGGCACTTCTAGCAGACCTACAAGCTTCAATTTAGAATACAATCAGTGTTTAGTATATAAATCAATGAAAAACTAAAATATTTTGCAATTTTGGTCCAGTTTTCTAGATACATCAACTGCATAAATAACTTTCTAATCCCATGTAAATATATAGGATTACAAAGTTATATTTGCTGTGAATAAATGTACCTGTATATGTATAATATCATAGAATAATGGGTGTAGATAGGTACATGGATATAACTATCTACAAAAAGAAATGAGAAGCTGTCAAAAACATAACTTGTAAAAAAAACCAAGTCTCACAACTCAGTTCTACCGTAAAAATTTGTGAGATCCATGTAATACCAAGTCGGTTAATTTATTCAGTCCATACTTAAGGGTCCTTCTGTCTTAAGTTATAACGTAATTAGCTAACCTAACAACATCTTATAGTGACCACATCAATACTAAAACTCTTTTATGTTTTAAATAAATAGATTGACATGGCAATCGCACTAAACAATCTAATTTAATATAATATGTATGTATTACTTGTGAGATACATTGTGTTTTCATGCGATGGCCAAGTCAATCTATTTATTTAAAATATAAAAGATTTTTAGTTTTGATGTGGTCACTTATAGTGAGTATGTTGTTAGGTTAGCTAATTACGTAGGTAATAACTTAAGACAGAAGGACCCTTGAGCTGTGGTAGAACTGAGTTGCGAGACTTGGTTTTTTTACAAGTTATGTTTTTGATGGCATAGTACATGTATACATATATATCTGCTAACTTCCACGGTGATCGGTCAAACGGTGTCGAAGTCTGTTAGTATCTAACAGATATCTATATCTGTTATAAAGCTTTTTTACACATCAAATTTTATACCGTTCAGTCGATCGATTTGATCGATGCTCTTTTTACAGTACAGCTACTTTTTGTTCTTTTAAAAAATTTTGGATAATGTAGTTTAGAAAGTTCACATTCTGAAAAGAGCCTTTATTACTATATATTATATTTAAAACGCGTCCTGAAATTATATAATAGTATAAACCGATGCATACGCGTAAAATTAAATAAATATGAAAGTAATATAAATCGTTAAAGGTGACTTATGTCAATGAAATATAGTCGTACGTACTATAAATTCTCGCTGGAGACCCAAAACCTGTGGAGTATAAGCGTAAAATATCAAAACATATTCCCGTAGCTTCAAAACAAACTACTAACTAGGTAACTAGGTTCGAACAATGAAAACACTCGAAGTTTTCAGAAGTAATTGTCGCACTAAATTGGATATACGTGAGGGAATATTACGTCCCCGTCGTATATGTCGTCCTGTATTTTGCACAACAGGAGTAATTGATGTGTTCTGTTATCACGTTATGCCAAACACACATGCTTATTAAAGCGTAGATATTTCTTTCTTACTTTGTTTGCGTTTTTATTGTAATCATTCCATTGTGATGACTAAGTGCTGTTAGTTCATCAGTGCGCGCTCGCGAGTATTTCAGACAAAATATTAATATTTTGTGTTTTTATTAATCCAATTAGGTTAAAAGTGGTAGGTTGTAAAGCCTTGTACGAACTTAGCGTACCAATGTACGCGTAGTCGGTTACGCGTATACAGGAACGCTAGTCCGTACTTACAGCAACGAGTATACCTACAGCAATTTTATCTCGCATGTCCACTCGTGGTGAGTTGTCGGTCTACATAGATATCTACATTTATCCTCGATTAACCGGTTCAGTGCGGGTGGCACGCCAGGCGTGCCATCGATTACTTTTGTGTGTGGCATATGACACGCGAGTCGTGTCTTTTTAAAAATCGTTATAATTCGCTCAAATTGCTTTGTTGGAAGATTTATCCAGAACAAAATATTCATTATTTTGCAAGTAGTTCATGCCTACAGCTTCGTTTCTGGATATTTTGAAAATTTGAAATGTTTAGGGGTTGACAACCTTTTTTAACTTGTGCATAGTACTCTTTTTACTTTGTGGGTTTTAAATCATGTTGTGGAAAAAAAGTCTAATAAGTAACAAATAATAGCATTCATTGCGATCGCTCACAAACTCAAGTTGTAAATAAATTTCTGGAAAACAAGTCTCCTGTTAAAAAAAAAACAATGCGTTTGTCTTATTGTTTAATTTTGCTTAAAATTATTGAACTGCCATCTTATTACTATCATGTGGCCGAATAGACTTACGAAGTACCATGTGCTCTTGTGATATGGTATAAGGTTTATTTTTGCTTGAAACAGTTCGAAACCGTTCATGCATAAAAAAGTTCGCTAATAAATAGTCTTTTGTCAATCCGCCGCCGTATAGCGCCGGCGTTTTTTTCCTTTTGAAAACACTTGTTTTGCTATTCTTACTAATTAGACGTTTTCAGATCGACTTTACTTTTACATTTGTATAACATTAAATAATATTTAACATTTGTAAATATCAATGAATCATAAACATTATTTTTTACCAAATTAAGGATCTTGATTGTTTCATATTTACAAATGTTATTATTAGGGGAAAATTTAATTTAATAAAGACCAAGGTTTTCCAGGGTGATTTAGCTGTACCTACTTATATAAACGATTTTTTTATAAAACAAAAAAATAATACAAAAGGTTTGTAATCTCTGCAGAAAAAAAGTTACTTACTCTCAATTTCAAAGAAAACACTCATAGAAAAACACGTAGTTACCCACTAAAAACAAGTATCCTTCCGTTTGTAACTGATGTTTGATGTCAAATAAACTTAATTAGGTCTAAACAAGTGAAAAAAGCATAAAAAAGAACATTACTTTTACACATGGCTGATGGCACAATAGGCGTGTGGCGCGTGACACGCCAGGCGTGTCATGAAATATTTGTTGTTAATTACGGTGCTGTAACGAATCGGTTAAGAATCAAAATGCAGATGTGTTGTCACCTCTAAGG